CACAGCTGTATTAAATGTTTACAGAGGGCCCCCTTTGTTGATGGTCACTGGGCTGAGTGTTGGACTATGAGCATGTGTAAGAATGGGTAGCACACTGTCCAGGAGGACAGCAGACACCAACGGTGATCACTCATGGGCAGAGCTGGGGGAAGGGAAGTCTAGTCCATCTCTAATAAAAGCTGATGCAGCAGGGAAAGCTTGTTATGTTATCATCTATAATCAGTTGTGGACATTGCTGAATAGTTTTAAGCTAGAATGTGCTTTCTAGCCTAAAAGTTTCTATTAATAAGCTTTGCTGGGGAGATCTCTTACTTTGGGAAGCGTTCATTTATTTACGTGCCCAAGCAGAATGTCAGCATTCCCCTGAGGCTGAGCGCTCCCCATTTTAAAAGCTCCATAAGATTTCTCCAGTTACTTTCCAAACATACAGTCTTATCAGATTAACAGCAGAAATTATTTTAGTGCTCTGGTTAGAGTGAGAGGTGTACACCTTGTCGGGGGATTGTGAACCCTAGATTTGAGAGAAAGAGGGAGGGGGTGATGGAGCCTGGCAGGGGAAGAGCCAACAAATAGAGGTGGATGGAAACAAGCACAGCTCCACCTCTGTTGCTCTAACCTAGGACCTTTCCGGCTGACAATTAGAGTGCTAATGGCTGTAATTGAGCAGGGGAATAGAGGTTGTCACTAGGTCTGAAAGAAGAGTGCTAATAAGCACAGCAGAGAGGAGCATGGCCGTTGGAGTCAGACTTGGGTAAGTCAGACCACTGAGTATTCATGTGACCACAGTAATACTGAGCCGCAGTTTTCTTATCTGGGAAATGGGAATAATAATTAGTTTAGTGGACATAAACAGCCTACTTCATGAGGTTGTTGGGAATCCATATGGGACCTCTGGAGTACAGTGGCTCATAACAGAATCCCTTTATAGCCCTGCAGAACACAACCACAAGGCCCAGGGAGGCCTGCTGTTCTACGAAATTAAGCAAAGTAAATTGGTAACTCTGGATTTACTTAGCTAGTGATTAAATAACAGTTTAGTTAATAGGCTGTTAATGGTCCCCAGGTGTTGGTAATTCTGAGTATTTGCTTTTGAGAGCAGTTGTATAATTTCTTCTGGTACTTTAATATATTTTTTTTCCACAGAAAATATTGAAGTGTAACAAATGATGCTCTCAGGGGCTATTTTTGGGAGGATTAATGATATAGTGCATATTAAACATTTGGTATAGTATCTAACCCACAATAAGGGCTCAATGAAAGCTATGTGCTATTGTGTTATTATTGCTATTATTACTTTGAGACTCAGCCGGCCCGGTTTAGACCAAGATCCTTTGCGAAACTTAGACTCCCCACAAATCCACCGCCACCTGGTGGCAGTTAGTGGTACTGCACACATTGTGAGTAAGAATTATTAAATTGCTTGGAATTTATTCCATGTAATTTCAATCCCACCAAGTATCACAGGGACTTTGTTCAGTGAGGGTGTGGCTTATTTGCCTGAGAGCTGAAATTCATATATAATTAATCAATGAAGTGACATTTTTCACCTCCTTAGTTGGCATAGAATAAAAAAAAGTGTTAACAGAGAGAGTAAATGAAGTGGGGACATGGACATCCTCCTGTGCTGTTAGTAGAAATGTAAGTTGGCACACTGTTTTACAAGGACAAGCTGGTCCTTGTAAGTCTTAAGTGTTTTCCTCTTTTGTGGCAGCCATTCCTCTTCTAGGAATCTCTTGAAGAAAAATAAGATAAAAAAGTATTTATTTAGAAAGCTGTTAAGGTATGAAGTCTGCAGGGGGAGGGAATTCTCAGACAGTGATTAAGATATACAGAAGTAAAGTTTATCTTCCTGAGGAAGAAAGAAAGGGAGAGAGAGAAAGAAAGAGAGAGTGGCTACCACAACACAAAGAGGGAGGAAAGGAAAGTTGTTTGGTGTCTTTAAAGGGTAGAAATGGCTTTTTTTCCCTCTGCTTCAGGGGACTGATAACAAAAGCCGCTGTGAAGCTGCTGTGTTGGCTTTTTCTGTTTCTCATGTAGCAGATTGATAGCAGAAATTAGTTTCTTTCTTCTTGATGGCGGGAGGCATCTGGTACTGTGTCTTCATGAGGAAGCAGGGAAAGCTCGCACTCCTGCTGTCTGCTCAGGAACTTTTTCAAGGCTGAGAAAGAACTCAGATAACAAGTTAGGCCCACACATGTTTTAATTAAACAAAGGGTAGTTGTGTTGTGAGTTTATTTCTCTTACTTTCTATTTGATAGTTTATTTTCCTCTGTTAGATTGGTTATTAGTCAGACCATCTTTCAAAAGTATATGTCTGTGTGTATATACATTGAGAATGAATCAGACTTCTCAATCCTTGTAGCAGTGATTCTTAGAAAGAGCAGGGCCCAGGGAAAGTAGGCATACGGACATCTCCTGGGGCAGAGGTGTTGGGGTGGGAGAATCGGATCCGAATCTGCTCTGGGAGCTGCATAGTTTAAGAACATACACTGTACCTGTCGATTTCATAATGCAAACTGCAGAAAGTGATGTTGAACATGGACATCTTGGCAGAGATAACATAGATGAGATATATGGGGCATTTGTTAATAAATTTCAGTTAGGGGAACATTGGCTTATAGGAAATAGTAGTATTGATGAAGGCAAAAAATTTGGGACCTTTGGGGATGAAGGGGCCTGGATTGGATGTCGTATGGATATTAGAGCAACGTGGTCAAAGCACAGGCCTGGGAATTTAGGGGTGTGGGGCTATATCCTCAAAGATAAATGTTCCCTCGTTTAGCTTTGCTTAGGAGCTGAGGGCCAAACTACCTTTGACATGTGTCTAAATCTCTCAATTTCTAATGCCTGATGTATCCAGTATGAGTGTGAAGCTGGGTACCTGGTGTTTGGAGACACTGATCACACTAGTACATCATTCTAACAACCTTTGGGATGAGGTGGGGCATGATGAGAGACCCTGACCAGGTTCTGTCACCCTCACATAAAGCCCACACCCCTTGGCCTTAATTTCAAGGCTCTCTGATGTGGGCCAGTCCCCTCCAGCCTCAGTCTAACAGATTTCAGCCAATTACAGCTCCAGTAACCCCTCCCCAGGCATAGTGTGTGAAGAGCTGGTTTGTAAAGTATGATTTTAAATCAGTGTACCATAAATTTAAAAGCCACAGCCTTTTCTCTCCTACCTTTTTATTATGGAGATTTTAAAACATATGCAAATATTGAGAAAATAACAAAGCACCTTTGTGTACCCATCACCTTTGATTTCACATTGTTCAATTTTTGGCTAATGGGACTCCTTTCGAACTGGTTCCTAATTCTTTTGATACAGTTGGTCAGTTTTAAATGGTCTATGTCATCAGTGTCTTGATGCTTGCCCATTGCTCTGACAAATCAGAGGCTTGGAGAACGTAAGAAGGACAGGGAGTATGTTGGCCCCTTCTGACAAGGGGAGCAGATGATGCTTACTTTATCACTGCAGTCAGTGTTGCTTAACTACATTTTTGCCTTAACATATTTGAGAGATTAATTTTATGGGAAGCTTCTTGTGATTAAAAGATGTGGGAAAAGTGTGGAGTCCTAAAACGCACATAGGTTTCATACCCTTCACTGGAATAAGATATTGACTAAGCACCTGTTGTGTGAAAGAGGCTGACTCGGACTGTGGAAGTTGGCAAGGTGACTTAAGAGAGTCATGGCTGAATAATTTGGAGTCACCCAAGGTGAGAGCCCAAGAAATAGTTGTGGAATGATTCTAAGAATACCAGACTACTAGGGTGGGTCAGTTTCTGGACTTTCCATGTTGCCATCTTTGTGATCTTGTACAATCCTCTTTAGCTTTCTGACCTTTAGTTCCCACAACCATAAAGAAGAGCACTGGACTCAACCGTTAAGCACCCAGGCCCTTTCACTTCTGAAATTATATAAATTATTTACATAGGATTCTGTACTTTAAAAAGTGGCCCTCAGACCTGAGGGATCACAGACTCACTCCAGCCTCTCATTTGATTTTTATTTTATTTATTTATTTTTTTTGAGACAGAGTCCGTTTTGTTGCCCAGGCTAGAGTGAGTGCCGTGGCATCAGCCTAGCTCACAGCAACCTCAAACTCCTGGGCTCAAGCAATCCTGCTGCCTCAGCCTCCCCAGTAGCTGGGATTACAGGCATGTGCCACCATGCCCAGCTAATTTTTTCTATATATATTAGTTGTCCAATTAATTTCTTTCTATTTATAGTAGAGACGGGGGTCTCACTCTTGCTCAGGCTGGTTTTGAACTCCTGACCTCAAGCAATCCGCCCGCCTCAGCCTCCCAGAGTGCTAGGATTACAGGCGTGAGCCACTGCGCTGGCCCAGCCTCTCATTTTAAAGATGAAGAAGCTGAGGTTGCTCCAGGAGCATGACCTATTCAAGGTCACAGACATAGTGATGGAAATGTCAGGTCTTTTGGAGTGAATTTTTTTATTTTTATTTTTTATTTTTTTTACTTTTTTTGGCAGACTGTCATCTCAAATGGAGTGATTTCTTGATGATTCTGAAACTTGATAGTGTTCACATCATGTTATATTTGATTACACAGTGGCTTCTCCTGTCTTTAGCTGTGATGAAACTTTGAGAAAGCTGTTTAGTTCCAAAGCTGGCTAACATTGTGATTTGGGGGAATAATCAGTTTCCTAACATTAAGCAGGAATAAATTAAGAAATTAGAGTTCCATATAGATGGTCAACTTTTCTCCTGTTGCTGTTATATGCCAGATACTCACAGTATGGCCAAGACCTACTGGGAGATCTACTTTGAAGTCAGACCCCGTTCCTAGTACGTTTCTGAATATTTTCCTGAGTTCTGAATGTCACAATTCAACATTAATGGAAAAGAAAGTACTGTATTTCAGACAAGGGTATTAAGTCAGTGATTAAGCTTAAGTGATTTGCAGGTGTTTTTTTTGTTTTGTTTTGTTTTTTTTTTTTTGCTGGCGTTTGTAATTGTTTCAAACTTCCTTTTACAGGATAGCTAACAGCCAGGAGAAATTTAGTGGAAAATGCAAAACAACGAAATTATAAAACCTGCCAAATACTTCTCAGAGTTGGAAAAGAGCATTTTGCTTGCTTTAGTAGAAAAGTACAAATATGTGCTGGAATGTAAGAAAAGTGATGCGCGAACTATTGCCCTCAAGCAACGTACCTGGCAAGCGCTTGCCCACGAATACAACTCTCAGCCGAGCGTATCGCTGCGGGATTTCAAACAGCTGAAGAAGTGCTGGGAGAACATCAAGGCTCGGACCAAAAAAATTATGGCCCATGAAAGGAGAGAGAAAGTAAAACGGAGTGTCAGCCCACTTCTGAGTACCCACGTCTTGGGGAAGGAGAAGATTGCCAGCATGCTGCCGGAGCAGCTCTACTTCCTGCAGAGTCCTCCGGAGGAAGAGCCCGAATACCACCCTGATGCTGCAGCCCAAGGTATCCGTTCCTGACGCCAGTTTGCACGCTCTCATTGGGCTCCTGTTGGATATTTTAATTTAAAAATCTTTCATTTTTTAGGGAATTTCTAAAAAAAGAAACTTTCATATCAAACTTGATTTTCCTAATTCAGGTTCTCAGGATTATACAGGACATTAAAAGTCATATAGTACATAAAGACAAAAGTACTTGTTTATATCTTTGTGTTCTCTTTCTTAAAGACTTTATTACTTATGCATAAGGAAAAATAAGGGGCTGCATTAATAGTTATTAATGAGGTACTTCAGTTGCTTATCTCAAGCTGTCTCAAATATATTAAGGAGCATTTAATGAGGATTTATATTCATTTACTCAGTCTTACTTTTTTCAAAAAAATATTTTTGAGGACCTATTATGTGCAAAGCACTTCATTAAGTCACTTAAAAGGCCATATTCAAAAAGTGAACTCTTTCAAACTTTAAAAGTTAAGTACAGAGACTAATATAGCAGACACCGAGTTAGCATTCACCCAGATTAAAAACCAGCATTTCTACCCACTATAATATCGTGATCCACAGTTTTGGTTTGTGAGACTGCAGGGATCTTGAGAAATTCTGGAAAAAATTTTAATATGCTTCCATTGAAAAGAGAAAAATATGCCATGCATAATTCTTAGGGAAGGATAAAACTGTCATATAGAGAAAGATGCAATGTTAGAGTGTCATAGCTTCACAAAGTCAGAATTTAGGGGCTATTGATACATCTTCAGATAGGGGGAGGGTGGAAATGCATGGAGATTAATTTCCAACAATTCCTCTTTTCAGTCAGGAGTGGCCAGTTTATAGAAAGGTTCATTGTGGTTTGTAGAAGAAAGACCTTGAAGCAGAGGAAGGTTTCTGGAGGGGGCGCAGAAGGTTGCGCAGAAGGTGCTGCAAGGACCCAGCAAACACTTGACCAGGAGAATCTGGTTCTTGGCTTGCAGGATGAGAAATTCACTTGTCAGCATCCCCAGAGTTAGACAGAGCTCTGAGGAACTGGCTCCTGTTAATTAAAAGTCACAAGAAACTGTCTAAAATCAAGAATGTTATCTGTGCAGGGTGAAAAAGATAATTATGGAGCAAACTGAATACATGTTTTTGATTAGCACCTTTCCCCCACACAGAGGGAGGTGATCTGGGGAGCTAGATTACAATTAAAAGTTTGCTTGCTGATCATTTGACCAAGGTTAAGTCCAGGGAGCCAGTTGGGTAACCACAGCCGGTTGACATCATGAACCTCATGCATCGTTTTCCACTCTAGGAGCCTTGTGTCTGGGGGTTGGTTCTTGAGTTCTCGAGGCAGGGTACCTCCTAGCAGTGCTTGTATGGGCACTGCCAACTGTCTCTTCCCCCTCATCCTTGCTGCTTCTGTAGTGCACTGCTAATTGACAGTGTCCCTGCTTTGGAGAAGTTTATAGCTTCAGCCAGTTAACACTCCATCTGGCTGGCCTCTGAGCCACTCGGTTCCTGTGAGGGAGAGGTCTGGGGGAGGAAGAGAGGTGAATCAGCAGGGCCGATTTTCACATTGCTTATGTTGCTGAGAAAGAAGCTGCTGTGAACTGCTTTTAGTTCATTTTGTAAATATTTAATCTGGATTACTGTGTGTTGATTTCATAGGGTTCTTAGGGCTCAGACAGTCTTATTTCCCCTTTTTCAAATTCTGGGGTAGGATCTAGAAAGTTCATCCCATAAATTTTTTTCTCTTTCTTTTTGGAAAAAATGATATAATTCATTTAATCATAAATACAATTTATAAATTTCCAGCGTAGGGAATAAATATGGATTCTCGGTGTCTTTCCTTTGGGGACATTTACTAGAGACCATTGTAAAAGAGATTTATAAGCCGGGCGCCGGTGGCTCACGCTGTAACCTAGCTCTTGGGAAGGCTGAGCGGGCGGGATTGCCTCAAGGCAGGAGTTCCAAAACCCAGCCTGAGCCAAGAGCTGAGACACCCGTCCTAGTATAAATAGAAAGAATTATGGCCAAAAAAAATGATATATAACAAAGAAATAAGCACACAGGTGGCTCATGACAACACACAGCTACTCGGGAAGGAAAACACAACAACAAGACACACAAGAGTTTGAGGTGCTGTGACAGGACTGACGCCGGGCTCAACTCTAAGTCTGGACAGACAAAGAACACACACACACAAAAAGAATACAAAGATTCATGTATAATAGTACTGAGTCTTTTTACTGGTGATTATTAAAATGCAGCCAAATACTACTCCTGTTTCCAGGTCACATCTGAAGGGCAGTGGACAGAGAACCTTGGTGCCTTGTCAGTTGGGAAGTGTGTCCAAAGTAATCTGTTAATGTTAGTAGTTAAGGTACTATAGAACTCTTTCTATACATTCAGACAGCCTTGACTTTATTTCACTCATTTTGCATTTCAGTTTTCTTTCAAGAAAGCAAAAGAAGCCTGAAATTGTCAGTCATCCCTTCTAGGACTTGATGGGGAAAAGGTTGAAAATCTACAGGGTTATAGCCCTCATACATCATGTGTATTTGACATATGGAGAGAGAGAGAGAGAGAGAGAGAGAGTGTGTGTGTGTGTATGTGTGTGTTACCTTTATTTTTCTAACACGATTCTGTCCAGTACAGTAGCCATAAGCCACATGATGCTACTAAACATTTGAAATGTGTGTACACCAAAGTAGACCAAATTGAGATGTGCTATAATTGTGCATACCACATTTTGAAGACTTTTTTGAAGTGCCCCCCAAAATAAAATATCTCGTTAATAATTTTTAAATGATAATATTTTAGATATACTGGATTTAAAAATATTACCAAAATTAATTTTACCTATTTCTCTTTGCTTTTCTAATGTGGCTCTGAGAACATTTAAAATTATATATCAATATCCTCATTAGTATAGTGGTTAGTATCCCTACCTGTCACACAAGAGACTGGGGTTAATAAAATTTTTAAAAATAAAAAAGAAAAAAAAAATTTAAAAAGTTGAATAAATTATAAAAAAATTATATATTAATATATAGCTTATATTATATTTCTGTTGGACAGAGCTGTTCCAGCACCTTACAGGGCCTATGACAGAATTAGGTACTCAGAAATTTGTTGAAATTTATTTTAAAACTGTTAAACAGAATGGAGCCTAGTAGTATTCCACTAGAGGCCTCCCTCCAGCTACTTTTTGATGTGAAATGGTTTCAACTGTGTCATCTTGATCACCATCCCCTGTATTTGAACACAGTAGTCTTAAAATTTAACTATAGCACTTAAGATTGTATTTGCAAAACAAAAACAAACCCAGTGAGTCCCCTACATATCTTAAAACAATGTACACACTGCAGATTTTATGCTTCATGCTAACTTGGCTTTCACACTTAGCTTCCATTATCTTTGGGGAACAGGTGTGCAGAACAAACCATGGAAACCAACACAATTGGCTGGGAGTGGCTGGGAAGGCGGGATGACCAAAGGTCAAATACATTTAAGAAAACTAAGCTTTGGAGTAGCACTCAAGTGTCTTAGGAGAATTCATATTTAATTTCACATGCTATTATTAAATATGTATGTGCTATAAAGCTATAATTGAATAGTGTGAACATTTCTTAATAAATTCCATAAATTCCATTAGTGTTACTGTTTAATTGAATCCTGTTCTTTTGGGATGGGAACTCATGTACAGAGGGCTGAGTTATATTTCTAGTCATGGCACACCAGCCTCACTAGTCTGTGAAAAGCCCCTCTTTTGTGTTAGTCATGTGTGTGTTCTCTTTTTATCCCTATTCCCCACTTTAATTCTCTTCTCCTGTACCTGAGTCATAGTGTATTCTTTCATGTGTTTTATGTGCGTATATTATGCATTTAGATAGGTTTAAAATTATTCTGTAGATATCATTTTTTCTCCTTTTTCCACTTAGAGTAATGTTTTTAAGATTAATTCCCATTGCAGTGTGTAAATCTAAATAGTTTCTTTTAGTTACTGTATTATATTACACATATGCATCCACACGTCTTATTTATTCATTTTCCTAGTCTGTCCTATTTCCTATGTTCTGTTTAGAACCGGGGTATGGCCTGTACACAGTTTCCTTCCCATCGTTTTGCTGCCATAGTAGGCTTTTTCTGCTGAGATTAAGTTTATTTGAATTGCCCAAGTGAAAGAACATCCCCTTGGCTGTGTTCTCTGGTTCCAGGAAAGCTCTGAGGCCTTCCTACCCTTTTTGCATAAGATTGAGTTGTTTTCTACTTTTTGTTTTACCTGTGAGAGGAATTACATGGTAAGTGTTTGCAGCAGGTTGCCATTCCCAGGCTAGTCTTTTTCCAATTAAGAGAAGATTCTTCCCATCTGAACACTAGCTTCTATTCATTGGAGCTAATATTTGTGTGAAAGTTAATTAACTATTCCATCGGGCTTCTGTAGTCTTAAGCCCCATCTTCTGCCAGAGTCTTAAGAGGCCTGGCTTTTTTCCTTTACAATTTGTATATTAGCACTCATTTAAACTAAAAAGAATAGTTTGAAAGTAGTAGAGTCATTTCTCTGCTCCCAGACACGAACATACTGTTTGAATGTTCATGGCTCTCAAAATTGGGAGGTCATACTGCAGACTATACACCCATATTCTTTATAATAGATGGTTTTGTAGTGGATTCAATTTGGAGGCTGCATTTAAAAATATATAAGGGATGAGCTGAACAAGTGGAATAGTAGCAGGCCGGGTATTGTAGTGGTTGAGCTTGGATTTTGGTGTCATTCTGATTTAGATTAGAATCCTTGTTCTTTCAACTAGCCAAATGACCTTGGATATTGTATTTGGTTTGCTATAATAATTCCTCCCTCAGAGGGTTGTTGTAAGGATTAGATGAGGTAATGCTGTTAGAGCACTAGTCTAGTACTTGATTAGCTGCCCAGAAAATGGTAGCTACTGTCATCACCACCATCCGGTCCCTAAAGCCTGAAATTGTTGAGATAAAAGTGAGCATTTAGAAATTGGGAGAGACAGCATTGTGAGGGGATGAACTTTAAGAACTCAGAGGAGTATCCCGAACTATCCCCTGGAATGAAATCAAAAAGAAAATTGACTCACGGGAGTGGGGAACCTGCAGCCTTAAGTCCACATGTGGCCTTCTAGGTCCTTAAGTACGGCCTTTTGACAGAATCCAAGTTTTACAGGACAAAATCCTTTTATTAAAAGAGGCGCAGCAGAGAAAGATGAAGCTTTTCTTGCCTCCTTTGGTGCTTAAAAAAGAACAATGTTAAAATCAGAAGGCTGCAGGTTTCCCACCTCTGGAGAGGTACCAAAAAATGTCTAATGTGTCCAGTCTTCAGAGAAGACATTTTGAGATCCAAAACTGGAAAGGAAGCAGGTGGGGTAAGGCTCTTCACAGTCAGCATTCACATCTGAGGGCCCCTAGCTTCAGTGTTAATTTTTTCCCATTCCTTTGTCCTGTGCCTCGGTTACTCAGAGCACTGTTCTTTCCCCATAGTTGGGTTGTGTGTATGTGGGAAGGGTGTGACCCACTGCAGACCTTTCGCCACACACACATCTCTGGACCAGGCCCTGTGCTGGGTTCTCCAGGAGGATGAAGAAGAAGCAGTCTCTGTCTTCAAGTGTTAAACCACCAGTTTTAACAAATGCTCTGCCAGAGGTGGGCCCAGGAGGCAAAGGGGGCATGAAAGAAGAACATCTAGTTGAAGCCAGAGCTGTTAGAGTTGGGAAAGATTCCTGGGCAGACATTTTCATTATTTCTGGAGGGCACATAAGTAGTTTTTGGTTTTTTTTAAGCATGAAATTAGGTTTATTGAGGACAGAAAGGATTATAAAACAAGAGCAAGATACAGGTTTCCAGAACAAGAGCAAGATCAATTCTTTTTTTTCCCTTAACCTTATTTTCCAAAAGTAAGATTTTTTTTTTTTTTTTAGCTTTTCTTTAATCTTAATTAGGAACTAGTTGCAGTTGTTACTTTACCCCTTAGAGTGAAATAATTAAACAGTGGCCATTTTCCTTTTATTAACAGTGTTTTATAAATTAGGTTTCCCCCAGTAGCCATTAACCTCCCCGGCATCCCATCTTCCAGAATAATGGAGTGGATATAATAATGTACTCAACTCTGTTCATAAATTGATATGATTTTTCTCCATAGAGAAGATTCTTACTACTGGAAATGTAAAGCTTCTCAAGAAAGCCTTGGAGTCACAGCTAGAAGACTCCATGGGTGAGTGGAGTTAGTGGTTTCCTTATGGAAACTCCCTAATTGACCTATGAAAAAATAAGGGAAACATGGTACCTACCAAAAGTGGCATCCTTTTGCAGTGGTATATTCTCTTCCCTTTGTATTCAAGGGTTCAGGTGATAAATATTTACTAGGCTTCAACTGAGTACCAAGCAAAGTAACTGGTACCCAAGGATAAAAGAAATGAGTAAGTCATGGTGTCACAACAATACTAGTGTGCGTCAAGTGCTGTAGCCAAAGCATACACATACATAGAGAAAGGAGAGGAGCTGAGGTCTCATAGACAAGTGGCATTGGTCCTGAATGAGTAGGAGCAGTGGGGTGAGAAAGGGAGACTAGAATGAGTGGAGGGACAGACACTGAGCACAACTTCAAGCTGAGAGAACAATGAGACACAGAATTATGAAAAAAATTCATGACCTTTTAAAGAATGTGAATTGTCTGGTAGGATTAAAGGGTGCACAGAGTATTTTGAAGAGTATGGCAAAAAAGATAAAGGAAAGTTGGGACCAGGTTATGAGGTTACTTAGGATGCATTGAGAAAGAGCCAGAGATGGGAACCCTCAGGAGAAAATGAAAAGGTAACAGGTGAGTGGAGCAGGAGTCTCAGTACATGAAGGAGGAAGGAGGCTTTAGAATAACTTAGTAGAGAGCAATGATTCAGAAGCTAATGGAGGAAAGAAATTTCAAGAAGGATTGTTGAATGCTAGGGAAGAGTTAAATAAAAGGGACATTTAAAAGTGTCCTTGGGATCTGACTGTTGACCCCAAATGGCAGTGCTGGAGGTAGCAGCCAGATGCCGGAGATTAAAAGGAAGTGGCATGTGAGGAAGTTAAGCCAGGGAGTGCAGACTCATCTTTCAAAGAAGAACATTTGTAAGACGGCTATCCAGGGTAAGGGTTAACACCTGCAACTAGTAAACAGCAGTGGCACTCTTGTGAAAATGGAACATAAATGCTTGTGGCTGAATGAGAAGCTGGCAAAGGGTGATCAGACCCACACTGGCCTCATATTGTGGTCTCAGTGCTTATCACAGTTGGGTACATTTCAGTTTTAGAATTTATATCAACAAGGCCTCCAATTCTTGATTAGTGTGGTCTTTGACTGGGGAGCCCATACTTAGAAGTTCTAGAAATGACATAATGAAACCCTTTACCATAATTTCTGAAGGAAAATTTGCTCCTGATTTATGGGTTTTTAAAAAGTCAGGTGTGGCCAGGGTACCTGTAGACATGAAGGCCAAAGCAGACACTATTTTAGATACATCCTGTAATGAGGAACCCTGTCATTTGAAATAGGATTGATTTTTTTTTTCTCTGCTTGTAAAATCTTTGAACATATGTTTTCTGCTACTGTTTTTCAGAATCATTTGCTGTTTCAAATAGAGAACTGTGCGATGATGAGAAAGAGTTCATACATTTTCCAGTATGTGAGGGGACCTCTCAACCTGAACCCTCGTGTTCAGCTGTCAGAATAACAGCCAATAAAAACTACAGGAGCAAAACCTCTCAGGAAGGTGCTTTAAAAAAGATGCATGAGGAAGAACACCATCAACAAATGTCCATCTTACAACTGCAACTGATACAAATGAATGAGGTGCATGTGGCCAAAATCCAGCAGATAGAGCGGGAGTGTGAGATGGCAGAGGAGGAACACAGGATAAAAATGGAAGTTCTCAATAAAAAGAAGATGTATTGGGAAAGAAAACTACAAACTTTTACCAAGGAATGGCCTGTTTCCTCATTTAACCGGCCCTTTCCCAATTCACCCTAAGAACTTTGGGGGTGGCTCTCTTGTAATTAATCTGTGTTGGCAAAGAAAGTCTGGAACATGAACTTGCGGTCAGTAACCTGTAACAGAGCTGCGACTAGGAACATTAGAGTGGTAGTAGTCACTTATTTAAGAATACATTCAGGTAAACAGCTGCACCCTATGTACCCCTTAAGTGGCAAAGAAGCTGTTATAGTCTTCTGAAAATTATCACTGAGTGCTATAATTCTGAATGTAATGTCTCTTAATTAGAATTCATACAAGAACCATGTGTGAGTGTTGTTGTTGTATTTTTTTTTTTTAATCAAATGCAAGTGTGACTATAAAGGAGTGTGGCTGATTTTTTTCCTTTTTCTTTTCTTTCTTTTTTTAAAACAGCAGAACTTTTCCATCAAATGAATGCCCTTCCATTGAAACTGGCTGTCCTGGGAGGCCCTAGGTTTCTCCAGTAGTGATGCTGTTGCTCAGAACTTGCTAGAGGTCTTTAGGGAACCTCTGTGAGAACTGCAGCGCCTTTTTAATATTTTTTTTTTTGGTGTTATCCTCTGAGTGTGGGTTTTTTTGTTTTTAAACAGCCCAACATTTAGGAGGATATTTTCTAATGTGTCTCATAAACTGCCTTTGAAGCCCTTTCCCCAAAGAGGAGTTCCGAATAATGCCTCCAACAATGGTAGCTTTGTTGGAACTAAGGATGTGACTACTTTGAAGGAGAAATGTTCATTTAGATTTCCACGTTCTGTTATGTTTGTTTTATTAAAAAAAAAGACTTGCAATTTTATAGTCACACTGTGTATGTTTTTTAAAGGTACTGCCTTCCCTCGGTAGTTTCCTCCCAACTTTGTACTACTGAGTTAATGGGTGCCCTTGTTTTTAGTCTTTAGCCACCTGAGGAAAAGCCCTTCCCTCACCGTGCTCATGATGCTAGCTTTGTAGCTGGCGTTACACAGTTAGCAGTGGGCTTTGTGTAGGAATCCATTAACAACATACTTGGAAATACGGATTTATAAATGGGTATTTTGATCGAGCTGTGATACAGCTTCTCCTGGAGCCTGATGTTAAAAACAGCCCTGGGAGCTGGGGACAGCAGTAGCTGGAGGCAGCAAAGTGACACTTAAGTGCCAAGGCAGATCAGCGATTTCTGAGAATGAGATTTCAAGGCCGTGTGGTGGGGAAGGAGGAGTACACGTGGAGGAGTTTATATAAGGGAGTATAGGACGGGGAGTCAGGGCCTGAATTCTAACCCTGTTTCTGCCTCAGGTTGCTTTGTGACCGTGGGTAACTCCTTTTAATCCTTGGCATGGTGTTTCCTGTCCATAAAACAAGGGAGTCGGGCTAGATAACATTCAGAGTCTACTACAGCTCCTTGGCTGCGGTGTGGTCTGTACAGTCTTGGATGGGTACTGCCAACGTCACAATTGTCTGGAGGGCATGGGTCAGCAGGGAGAAATTGTTTACTGCAGTGACTGAGCCTCCCTCCTTCATAATTTTGTAAGTTCAGTAAGGTACAAATACACTTGCTGTTTATGTACTGCATAAAACTTAAATGGATATGAATTTATTTCATACAGTGAATCATATTTTCAGTATCTTAGAGGAACTGGTTATTTGAAGGAACCCTGTGAAGACTAGTCTTCTGTGAAAGGAAGGATCCTTTTGTAAGGATTTATGTTCTTAATTTAGTTTTTACCAAATGGACCCTTTAGCGAATGAAGCGTCTGGATGAAGTCCAAGCTTCAGTGGCTTGTGGAAGACAGAACTTGACTCTCCACGCGTGCGTACCCCTTCAGGGCTAGGACAGGGAATGGCGCCCTACATATACACCTGAACAGAAGAAAGATTGCCTTTGCTTCACCTAGTGATCCACGTAAAACTCTCCTTAATGTGCAGATTCGGGAGTGGAGCCCGAGATTCTGCATCTTACAGGCTCCTAGTTTGTGCCAGTTCTGTCTGGTCACCTCATTTCTGAGTAGCAAGGTTTCAGAGGACCTTATGAAGTTTTTCTTTATTCTCCAAAAATTTGGCGATTAGACACATCTTTGTTTACAGTGGTGCTAGATATTATATTCTTTCTCTCAGAACTTATGCCTTAGGCACACAAACAACAATGTAGAGCAACACAAAAAATGCTCACACAGTAGTATATTTTAATGGAAATATAAAAGCATTCGAACTAATTCCTAACTGAATAAATAAAGGATAATTAAACCAGCAGCCTAAAGCAACCCTGCTTTACTGTTAATGGTATTTATGAGTTTATAACAGTAGTTTCCAACCTTGGCTATGCATTAGAAACAGTGTTTTATAAATAATTAGTCCCACTGGGTCTCACTTCCAGAGGACTCTGATTCAATTGGCCTGGGTTGGGGCCTTGGCCTATGTATTTTTCAGAGGCTTTAAGAGGGGATTAGGATGCATAATTGGGATTGGAAAACCACCGATGTAGAGTTCATAAATGTGTCTCATTTAATTCTTAATCCTGTGAGGCCATGCAGAAGTTAGGAAATGATAGTTAGGTCAGAGAATAACCACTTGGTGCCAAGCCCATAGGTGGTGTGAATGGCAAAGCAGAACCTCAATCCCAGATCTCTTGACTCCAAATATACAGCCCCACCTGCCTGCCCTTGTGCCATTCCTTAAAGCTCTATCATGAATTTGTTTTGTCCTGAGAACCAGATCGCATCACAGGGTACTTGTTCTAGTATCTTCATTCATGAACAAGAATGACCCAATTCATTTCACTTTTGAGCAGTTTCTTAAGCGAGGTGGAAATGCAATAACCATTTCTTGGTAGGTGCTATAGGGAATAGACTGGTAAATATTAAGACACAGTTCACGTTGGGTGCAGTGGCTCACGCCTGTAATCCTAGCACTCTGGGAGGCCGAGGCAGGCGGATTGCTTGAGGTCAGGAGTTTGAAACCAGCCTGAGCAAGAGTGAGACCCCCGTCTCTACTATAAATAGAAAGAAATTAATTGGCCAACTAATATATATATACAAAAAATTAGCTGGGCATGGTGGCACATGCCTGTAGTCCCAGCTAATCGGGAGGCTGAGGCAGTAGGATCGCTTGAGCCCAGGAGATTAAGGTTGCTGTGAGCTAGGCTGATGCCACGGCACCCACTCTAGCCTGGGCAACAAAAAGTGAGACTCTGTCTCAAAAAAAAAAAAAAAAAGACACAATTCACCATCCTCCACCTGCCAAATTATGAACAGAGCCCAGTAGGGGAGAAAAGGGTTGTACACATCTGTTATGTACTTGATCAGTGCATGTCTTCAAATGCCCTTGTATCTCAGAGCAGAGAACTGAGAAGCTTGAAGGAAGGCCTCACGGAAGAGGTGGCATTTTGGCAGTGGAGATTCAGAAAGCAGAGGAACTTCACTAGATGCAAGGTCCTGTTGAAGATTCAAGATGAGGAGACACATAATTGGGAGGTGGTGAGAGCCTGGGGAGTTTCCAAATTGGGCAGTAATGTGATCAGACCTTGCTCCAGGAGGAAGAGTAGAAGATGGAACTGAGTGGAGAGACCACTGGAGTTGGGGATACCAGGTAGGAGGGATTGGCCCTCATTAGGATGAAGTGAAACAGGGTCCCAGAGAAGGTTGTAGTAAAAACAAGAGAGATCAACATGAGGGGCATTGCCAAAGTGGAATCGGTAAGCCTTGGCAGTTGATTGCGTTTGTTGGACAAGAAGCATATGATTTTAAAGCTAGATGTCTGAAAGAATGATGCTGCTGATTGAAATAAAGGAAGAAAGGATGTATTTCTGGCTTCATCCCGTCCTAGGAGAGGCCTTGACACAAACCAGTGCTACTGCCTCACTCTTAGCTTCAAACACCAGTACCTCATGCATCTTCTCTTTGGCTACCAGGTCTTGGCCCTGACTTCTGCTTCTTCAGCTGCCTGTGCTGCCACTTCCACCTGTTCATCTGATACCTTGGCACCTCCCTGCTGGGTCTTGGTCACCCCACTGTGCCAGCAGTACTCCATTGCAGCTGGTGCATGTTGTTTGCCATCTCTTACATTGGCTTCACACTAGAAAGATCAGAAAAGATTCTTTCCCTTGAGTTCCAATTTTTCTCCTGTTGGCATCCACAATTTTTAAAAAAATTTTCCATGTTGTATAAAGGAGCATTGATTGAGAGGGGCTGTTAATTCACATGTGTGCCTATTATGGCCCTTTTTTTCTTTCTTTCTTTTTAATCTCACTCTGTTGCCCAGGCCAGAGCAGCAGGAGTGCAGTGCAGTGGTGCTGCCATAGCTCACTGCAACCTCAAACTCCTGGGCTCAAGTGATCCTCCTGCCTCAGCCTCTCGAGTAGCGGGGACTACAGGTTTGTGCTGACATGGCTAATTTTTTCTATTTTTGTAGAGATGGAGTCCTGCTCTTGCTCAGCCTAGTCTTGAACTCCTAGCCTCAAGCCATCCTCCTGCCTTGGCCTCCCAAAGTGTAGTATTATAGGCATAAGCCACCATGCCTGGCCATCATGTCCCTTTTATAAAAATTAAACATGGGACCCTACTTTAGAATTTTTTCAGGGAGAATATTAAGATGCATTTTTGTTTTATTTTGAAGAGATGAGAAGAGCAGTGGAAGAGAGGAGGCATGGCAGCCGGGTGCATTTGAGTTGTCAGCAGCCTCTGCAGTGTCAGGTCAATTACATCAGCACTTGGTCTGGACCAGAGAAGAGGAATGATTCTGCCTCCTGGGAATGTCAGAAAGACCTGATAATTACATTTGGCAAAGCTTCGAGGAGTGGCTCTGTAATGCCATTGCTAAGAATTACCCTTTTAGTAGCATTTCTGGATGTCTGAGCTTTTCAAATGAATGGCACTTGTTTTCTGCTGTGTCTTTCCTTTCTGTTGGACCGGATCCCAGCTGGTCCTCTTGTTCTTCCTCATTTCTGCGCTTTGATATCAGTTCACGTTTTCTCTTCTGTTGTCCTTTTTCCCAGCCCTGTTTCTCCAATCCCTCCTGCACTCACAACAGTTTCTGCTCTCCTTGTTTAGAGGTGGATGCATGTGGGAATGTGTGTGAGGGGAGTGCTTGCCAAAGGATGGCATATTCAACATCTGGTTATCAGCAAGGTAAAGTTTGGCCTTAGACTAGCCAAGCTGTTGATGACTTGCCTCCATGCTGCATCTGCTGCTTTCATGTTGGTAGGACTCAGAAGTCATGGCCAAGGTCATCAGGGATCCATGACTGCAACAAATTCTTTTCCTAATTGTGCCATATATTATGCCTTTCACAATTTACTAATCTCTGCCTCAGTTTCTCCATCTGTGAAAGTGGTGTAATACTTATCTACCTCCCTTGAATGTTAGTATATGTTGGTAAAGTACTTTTAAAATAAAGAATGATGTAAAGCATTTTAACATTATTGTTGTCTTTGGGATATGGATGCCCTCCTGTGGAGATGCTGCCCTGTAAGGGAAGTATCCCAGGTGTACCAGGGGTTAGGAATGCCCAGGATATACAACTCACATAACAAATACAAGAGTGTGATTATTTTCTTTATGAAGAAATTCAATATGGCATTTCTTTAAATAGCCCTTTGGTGCATTTGGAATGAGATTCAATTTATAGAAGTGTGATTTATGCAAGATTTTAAAAGAACACATCTATTGAACCTCTATTACCTAATATAATTGTTGGATTTGCAAGCTGATTATTAACCTAACTGTGCAGTTTATCATCATTAGGTGGAAAATTTCAGTTTCTACATTATGCAGATGCCCAGATTGTGTGTGAAGGTTCTCCCACTGCTGGCGCTGATTGG